ATTTTGCTATACAGTGCGTTGTTTTTGAAGTGAAATAACCATCGGGTGTTCTTCCTGAAGACGGACCTGTATTCTGATTTCAATATCCATCAAGTTCCGATGTCACTTGTGTAAAATAAACCTACGACTAATAGCTGGGATATAAAGGCGAAGGGGCGTTCGAAGGAGGACACACTGTATATAAACATGTTAGTATTATTTCAATATACTTGAAGTGGGGATTATTCAGATTACTCGCGTCAAAACGTCACTGCACTATTCACTATCGAAAATCATAAATGGTGTTCCTCCACACCTATTTCAGAAAATATTAGAATTATTCATAGGTCGATTCTGGATTGATTGGCATAAATGGATGATTAATTAAAATTATGACAAGAATGTACAAGATGTTATTCAAATGGAGTTGTAAATATTTTCAATATCAGATATTCCTGAGAAAAAACAATACTGATTTTCTCCGCCACTGAATTTTTTTTCTGAAACCAACTCTGAGCAAGCTCTCAAGAAGTCACATCATGTTTAATAGTTCTGCAGCTTAAAAGAAAAGGAGGTACATCCATTTTGCTAGATCATTTGGGATTTATTCTCCTCGTTTTCGATAAAATGAAAATATGAGTTCTAGGGAATATTATAATGTTTTCGACTTCAGAGAATTGAACTTCAAAGAAAACCTTATGGATTCAGAATTGGAGAATACCTTTTGATCGGACTCATTTTACACAATCTCTATATCGTCATCATCAAGTTCTGTGCCACATTTCAATATACGTGTCACTGCGTTCAAGAATGATTCTATCAGAGGGCCTAACAAAAAAAGCCAATCGTTTGTCAGTGACACTTTGTTGTGAAAATGTTTGAAGAAGAGGAATATAGATATATCGAAGAAATATCGAATGTTTACTAATCTTTGGATGCTTTATGAACGAATCTGATTTTCCATCATGCAAAATATCATTTTCTGAAATTGTTTTCTTAGTGTAACACATCTTAGTTACATACTTTGATGTTGGCATGCAAAAAAGTGACATGATATTTTCATTAATTGATCTTGTATATACCATTTTTATGTTCAGGTTTCAGTAGTGAATAAAGACCATGATCTATAGGTACAGGGTGGGGCATTAGTGCGTCGGAGATCGATTGCTCGACATCTATGATAGCTAGAAACCTGATTCAAAAACGAATGTGAATGAGATAACAAGGTCCATAACTAGAAATCATTGCCGCATAAACAGGGCGCACCGAAAATAATCTAGAGGGTCGGGATCAATTTTTTTAATTGGAATGCCCAGTATATTTGCATATTTTTTGAAGCATCTCTGTGATCTTCATCCACTCCTATAATATCGTTGACTATATCTCTTTCGTATCAAAATTATAGATTTTTTGGTCGAAATAATGTCATCTGCAGATGCCTACCGAAAATATCACTGTAGTCACAATTATGAACTTTATGAAGAAATAATCTCAATATCATTTATTGAAAATATGAGTGACATTTCTGAAAATGTTGCAGGCTCTCAAATGATACAGGGTGGCTGAAAATGATTTTTCAATTCGGAACTGGTCGAAGTGATTTTTCTCGAGTTTTTCAAATGGAACACCCCATATATTATTCGACCATTTGATGTAAAATCGAAATACGAACATATTTATTCGAACATCCATATCGATATTCGCAACCATTTTCGGATTTTTGAACTTTGAAAATTTCAGGTTGGCCATTTTCATCGATACACATTCTAATCTGTTATTGAAACATCAAAAGTTCAATCAACAATTTAGTGAACCAATTTTTTATTGAAAGAATCGATTTCAGAACCAAAGCAGACATGAATAGGTCGTAATTATGCTAAATATTCACAAAGTAGAGACGGAATAAATTTCATTTCTGAATTATTCTGGTTTTGCTTTCAATGTGCCATGAATTTATGAGATACTTGAGAAATGCAAATTTTGTCTCTTTTTACTTTGTGAATAACCAGCATATGAACTTTTTCTGTTTGCTCCGATTCTGGTATCGATTCTTTCTTTGAAAAAATTGGTTCACTAAATTAATAATTGGACTTTTGATGTTTTAATGACAGATAAGAATCTGAATCGATCAAAATCGCCAACCTATAATTTTCATAGTTCAATAATTCAAAAATGGTTATGAATATCGATTTGGATGTTCAGATAAATATGTTAGTGTTTCGATTTTACATCAAATGGTCAAAAAATATATGGGGTGTTTCATTTGGAAAACTCGTGAAAAAACACTTCGAAAAGTTCCGAATTGAAAAATCATTTTCAGCCACCCTGTATCATTTGAGGGCCTGAAACATTTTCAGAAATGTCACTCATCTTTTCAATGAATGATATTGAGATTATTTCTTCTTAAATTTTATAATTGTGACAACAGTGATATTTTCGGTATAGGCGCAGAGATGACATTATTTCGACAAAAAAATTCATAACTTTGATATGAACGAGATATAGTCCACGATATCATAGGAGTGGATAAAGGTCACAGGGATGCTTAAAAAAATATGCAAATATACAGGACATTCCCTTTAAAAAAAATGATCCCGACCCTCTAGATTATTTTTGGTGCTCCCTGTATATGCGGCAATAATTTCTAGTTATGGACCTTGTTGTCTCATCCACATTCGTTTTTGAATCAGGTTTTGTAGCTATCATAGATGTCGAGCAATCGAGCTCCGACGTACTAATGCCCCACCCTGTATATCTATATCAACTAAACAGGAAGCAATGCTATTGACTCTGTTCAGAAGAATGCCAGCGGATTCCTTGATTTTCCTCCTTTGGTTGTTATCTTCCTTTCCTGTAACTCATTTGTATGCTAACATCAAAGTCTGTCACTGAGTCACACTGAGAACACAATTTCATAAAATAATACTTTGCATTTTCCATGTCAAAAACGGGAGCAGATTCCTTCCCAAAACGTCCAAAGATGATTGAAATTCCGATATTTTGCCAATATATATCTATATTCATTTTCTCTTGATAGAACTAATAAGTGTACTGTGGAACGATTGGATCCAATTTTGGCTCAATGATAAAACAATCTTTGAACGCAGTGACATTCTAGGGCAAATCTTCACGTAAATTGGAATAATACTCATATTTTCATTTTATAGAAACGATGAGACACGAAATTCCGAATAATCTAGCAAAATAACATCATCGTGAATGTAAAACACTTCTAACTTCACAAACTTTTAGGGTAATAGGTCAATATTTCGAAAAGTTGAGTAGGACACCTGGTATCTCTTACTGAAAACGAGATCTAAATCATGACACATATGATAATTTTCACAGTCAATATTACAAAATCACTATATACTGAAGATTCTACCATCCCATCTTTAAAATTTCTTCAGAGTCACATTGCTTTCCCAAAAATATCAGACACTATTCTCAAGGCAATTTATCACAAATAAATAATTTGGACAATCTTTATCACTTCTATCTTCTCACATTTGTGCTGACCTTTATATTCGATTTTCTACAAAAATAAATATATATGGATCCGTAATCTTATATCTAGACATATCACAATGATTTTTACAATTATAATATACAGTAAGTAGTAAAAAACATGAATCAAATGTGGTATGAGACAGGCAAGTATTTCATTCAGTGCGATACATTGGCAACATTTTAATGAGATCGAATACAATTTTGTTTGCCCTCCCAGAAAGTCAGAAGAGAGACAGACAGATACAGAAAAACGTAACAATATTATCAATCAAAATTGACTATAACGAATAGTATAGATAATTGAATATCGTTCAAACCAATGAAATTTCTTGAAACTCACAATTTCAAATCATAAAGTATCACGAGAGCTACCTTCAGAAATGACTGTAACAGACAACAGGAACCAATCTGTCCATTTTCTTTCAGAAGAGGAAAATGATATAACCTTCCATGGAAGGTATAATAAATTGGTTAAACGTATTAGATCCGTGCGTACCAGTATCCAGTGTTTTCATAGTCATTTCCGTATAGCACCAGTTCGTCCCCAAAACGTACTGAGGACGTCTGGTTTAGATGTTTTGTACGTTCTTCGGACGTCCAATTAGGACCGTAGACGTACTAGGTACGTACTTTGAACGTCGAGATTCCGCGCATTTGTACATCACCAGTACTTCCAATCAGGAACATTGAAAAAGAGATCTAGACAGATTAGAAACAATCCTATCTTAAATAAAAAATTCAACGAAATGCGCTTCTTCCGGGGATCGCTCCCAGGACCGTTAGATAACCGGGCAGATGGTCTATCTATTACTGTAAAGAACACCTATCAATATATCAGTATACAACAAAAGATTATGTGCGAATGTCGATTGACCCTTCACATCGATACTTCCATGGAATCAGATGATCATGGCAGAGAATACCTAAATAAATGTTTTGTGATTAGGTGTGGCCAGTAAAAAATGAATTGTTCATGTTCACCAGGTTCCAACATGAATAGATATGCAATGATTTCAATTAACATTGCACCATTTCTTCAATCCCGTCCACAAAAGGTCGATAACGTCAAGAGTTGGACATCAGAATCTTCCGTACCCAGTACGTCTAGAACTAGACGTTTTCAGTACGTCTTGAAAAGGTCCCGGACGTTCAGACCTAAATCGGACCTTAAACGAACGTCCCCAGAACGTCAGGTGCTATATGGGTTATGAAACTAATAACAATTTAATGTTCGAATTAGGATGATTCCATACGTTTTCCATATCCCAAACTTTCAAATACAGTGACAAAGGATAAAAATCCATTTATTCATGATGCCAGAAGTAACTGATTGATCATCTTAATGATATCATCAATAATTATCCATGACTCACTTACTTGTGAGAATAATTTATTCTGAAACTGGACTCGAGCGTTGTTTCGCGTCACAAGAAAAAAAAAAGAAATTTTTCCATATCAATCACTAAAAATGGATTTATTTGTTCGAATTTAGGAAAACTGTACTTGTGACTTGTGACTCTGGCATCATTTTAGTCGATGATTTTTCATCTCTCAAGGCACACGAGAGGAAAAACCTATACTTTTTGGAATTAGGAATAAAGCTACTGGTATGAAACAGTTTTGTCGGTGCTATTTTCATTTTATATCACATACATTTCGTAGAAAAAAGTATCAAAAACTGAAAGTTGTTATTGAACGTTCAAATTTAAGACTCAATTTTTGACTAGTAGCGAAAGTTATGTGATCTCGACCAGGTAGGGATTTTTTTTAAACATGAACCAATGGCTTAGTCGATTTTCGAAATGCTTTCTCATCACATGTTTCACCCATATTAGGATTCCAACTTTATGAAAGACACTGTATGTATATCCTGGGAGCAAGAATTCTTTCAATCACAAGCGGGAGAAAACCGAAAGGTACTTCTGCTCCTTTGATATGAAAATAGCAATTTTCCGAATTCCTAAAGGTTCAAGGGATATTTCAACGTATCTTAGGGAATATTATTATGTTTTCGACTTCAGAGAATTGAACTTTATAGGAAACTTTCCAAATTCAAAATTGGAGAGTACCTTTTGTTCGGACTCATTTTACACAATCTCTATTGCGTCATCATCAAGTTTTCTGCCACATTTCCCTAGCATATTCTAATCCGCATTCGCTTGCCGGTCGTGGGTTCGATTCCCGTCGACTGCAGAAATTTTTCTGATGGCCCAAGAAAGTGTTTGGGATCACACGTTAAAAGGTAAGGCCCCCGTCATTCCTTGCTCGCACGAGACTCTCGAAGACTTCTGAGGGTTGCTCGTAAGGGGGCAACCGAATGACGGATAGAACAATTTTAGAACAATTTTAGCATGTAGTACATTAGTTCCATGTCACTTCTTCACGTTCATCATCTCTACAAGTTTGTTTTAGTGAAACTATCGGACTGTACTTATTTTTCATCCTTTGATACAATCCTCAATTGTTCTCAGTGCATGTTGATATGTACCCGGCGACTTGAGAGAAATAAAATTGATGGAAAACGTTCAGAATTCGAAATTAAAGAGTATTGTTCAAAGTCGTACTACACGATCAGCATTTGGTAACAACCAAGTTCCAATTCAAATGAAAGTTCAGATCAGTACAGAAAACATAACAATGACTCTACCACATCTCCCCAGCTCCCCAGCTAATTGCCTATCAGTTTCAGGTCACTTTTTTACATTCATCACCTCTACATTCTACAAACAACCACACCTTTCTACAACCATCCCAGGCGGCGACCCAAGTTCCACGTTGAGCTCGTCGTCATATAGTACAACATGAGAATGCTTTCGATTTTACGCGGTATACCGTTACCACCGATAAATGACCGTTTTCAGAAAGAAATTTGAGAATGAGAATTAAAAATGCCCGTTTATTATGAACATTCAAGAAAATTTCCTCGAATTCAGAGATGATTTTGTTGACTATAATAAACGAATACAAAACTAACTGCACAATCAAAGCTTTTCTATTTTTCCTCTACTTATACTCTTTATTAGAGAGTAATTGTCTTCTATTATTGATTCATCATTATAAATTGAGCTCTGTTTACTACTGAACTTAGATGGAGTAAAATCCTCGCGGTGAATTGCATATACCCACATTTTCGATAGCTCCTCGTCCAACGGGAAACTAAAAGTATGAACTTTTGAACCACCCACATAATTCCCCCGACAAAAGGAAACACAACACTTGAAAGGCATGGTTATTTTGCCGATCACAACACAAAATATTTCACAAAACAGTAATTTTTCCGCCAATTATTTTGATGAATAAACAACAAAAGGATTCGGGACCGTTTCAAAAACATACGTGAATCACCGATGAATCAACACGAACTGACGCGTTAGTCGACAAGCGATGAAATAAAACACTGGCCTCTCTGGGTGACGTCACGAGTTGTTTACGTCAGAGTCTGCTGGCCTGGTTGTATCGGTGGTAACGGGTATACGCGTTGTATCGCTTGGGAGAGATGATGAAGTCAAAGCCGAGCAGTTCGAAGACTACTGCCAGTGGGTACCGACAGCAGATTATTCGATCTGCTCGAGGTGAGATTGCGCTAATTTCTGATCTGGTTGAGATATGCTGGGTTCAGATACGCTCTTACCAGATTATTGTTTTGATTCAAAGTTGAAGAGTATTGTTCGGTAACACAATCAGCATTTGGTAATAACCAAGTTCGAATTCAAATGAGAGTTCAAAATAATATAAATACAAATAACACAACGTCTCTACCACTTCTCCTTAGCCAATCTTTCATCAGTATCAAGTAATTTTTTCTTGTTCATCACATCTAGATATTTGTTCCTGAGGAACTATTGGACTTCACTGATTTGTCAACCATTTATACAATCCAAAATTCTTTCTGTGCATATTATCATGTTCTCGATAATTCCAGAGATTCAAATCTATAGAGAACGGTCTGCATTAAAAATTGAAAATATTGTTCGAACTCGCACCACAAAATCTGCATTTGGTAATAACCAAATTTTAATACGTATAAAAGTTCTAAATTAATACAGAAAATACAACAAGGCCTCTCCCAAGTTAGTCGTTCATTAGTTTCATGTTACTTTTTCAAGTTCATCACCTCTACAATTCCGTTCTTGATGAACTATCAGACTTTACCGATTTGTCAAAATTTTATACAATCCTCAATTGTTCTCAGTGCATAATGTACTCGACGACTTCACCGACTTGAAATGCATAGAAAACGTTGTCGTACTACACAATATTCATTTGGTAACAACCAAAAGTTCAAATTCAAATGAAAGCTCAGATCAATTATAAAAATGCCTCTTCCACATCTCCCTAGCCAATTTTTGATTTGTTTCAAGTCACTTTTTTACGTTCATCACCTCTACATTCTACAAACACCCACACCTTTCCACCACTATCCCAGGCAGCGACCCGAGGAGCACGTTGAGCTCGTCGTCATAGTACAACATGAAAATGCTGCCGACCTTACGCGGTGTACAACATGGAGGCAAACCTCCAGGCATCGCGATCTGTTTCAAGTGCGTATGCGCGTACTTCTGCAGCGTGACGTAGGAGCACTCTCCCGCACACATGTACACGTTGTACCGCTTGGGAGCAATGATGAAGTCCAAGCAGAGCAGTTCGAAACTTACTTCCAGTGGGTACCGTCAGCAGATTGATATTTCTGCTTGAGGTGAGATTGCGCTTATTTCTGATCTGTTTGAGATATGCTGGGTTCAAATACGCTCTCGCTAGATAATTGTTTTGATTCAAAATTACACAATCCGCATTTGATGATAACCAAGTTTGAATTCAAATAAAAGTTTGAAATGGAATAAATACAGAAAACACAACAACGTCTCTACCACTGTTCCTTAGCCAATCTTTCATCAGTTTCAAGTAATTTTTGCTTGTTCAGCACTTCCAGATATTTGTTTCTGGAGAACTATTGGACTTCACTGATTTGTCAACCATTTATACAATCCAAAACTGTTTTAGTGCATATTATCAAGTTCTCGACAATTTCCGAGATTTTAAGTCTATAGAGAACGGTCTGCATTAAAAATTGAAAGTATTGTTCGAACTCGTACCACACAATCTGCATTCGGTAATAACCAAATTTTAATACGTATAAAAGTTCTAAATTAATACAGAAAATACAACAAGGCCTCTCCCAAGTTAGTCGTTCATTAGTTTCATGTTACTTTTTCAAGTTCATCACCTCTACAATTCCGTTCTTGATGAACTATCAGACTTCACTGATTTGTCAAACTTTGATACAATCCTCAATTGTTCTCAGTGCATATTAATATGACTTCAGAGAATTGAAATTCATATAAAACGTTCTGAGTTCGAAATTGAAGAGAATTGTTCACACTCGTATACCACAATGTTCATTTGGTAACAAACAAGTTCCAATTTAAATAAAAGTTCAGATCAATATATAACAATGCCTCTTCCACATCTTCCTAGCCAATTGTCGATTAGTTTCAAGTCACTTTTTTACGTTCATCACCTCTACATTCTACAAACACCCACACCTTTCCACCACCATCCCAGGCAGCGACCCGAGAAGCACGTTGAGCTCGTCGTCATAGTACAACATGGAAATGCTGCCGACCTTACGCGGTGTACAACATGGAGGCAAACCTCCAGGCATCGCGATCTGTTTCAAGTGCGTATGCGCGTACTTCTGCAGCGTGACGTAGGAGCACTCCCCCGCACACATGTACGCGTTGTACCGCTTGGGAGCGATGATGAAGTCCAAGCCCAGCAGTTCGAAGTCCACTTCCAGCGGGTACCGACAGCAAATGGGCTCGCGCGAATGATCGTCGCAGTTGAGGCCGATGTTGCGGCGAACGCGTCGCTTGGATTGGACTGTGGATATTTCCACGTATGGCATCTGCAACAAGAGAGAAGGTTATCATTCATCTGATTACGGATACATCAATAGCGTTTACAGGCACTAGCACAGTGCAAGTATAGTTTATGCAAAGTCAGTTGGAGAACACATCACCGAGAGCCGTCGGTTTCTTTGAAAGTTCAAAGAGAGCGGCTGCGCGGCTCGACATTCGTTTTGATGACCTGTTCAACTGACTTTGCATAAACTATACAAGTGGCACTGGCTCGGATCTTCCAAATGGTGTAGTCCCAGCACAGAGCAGTAGAATAAAAAAAGTTGGTGCGACTATCTTTTCTTTGTCGCCAGAAATATCAGAAGTGCTTTGTCAATCAAAGATGGATCGATCCAACTTTTATGGTTTCTCTGTGAGCGCTGACAGAAACAGTTTTATACATCTCCCTGGAGGGCAGACATTGTATATCGTCAAGATTTGTCATATAAAACTAGAATTATAGGGATCGTTTTCCTTGTAATCTGAGTTGGAACCCGAAAGAATTTCACAATTTTGTTCGGTGAAACTGTTATTATATTGTGGATGTGAGCAGGGATGGTAGGAAAGTAACCTAATAGGCCCTCCAAGGAATCATGTCGAAATCACATGTTCTAGAATAGTCAATAGTGATTCAGCATCGAAGTGTCGTCTACAAAATCATTATTCTTCATCATAACTGAATCAACAATGGAATATTCCCAATACCTGCGCATCTGAATAGCTTCCTTTAACTTTTAGGACTACCTATTAATGTAACAATAATATAACTAGTATTACTTAGAAGTGATGTAGCATATGATGTAACGTGATGCGGACATTCTGCACAGTTAACTCATGGAATTTGAACCTACATATTACCTCTTTTGTTACGTAACTGATCAACGAAATTATCTTATGTTTATGCGTAAGTTACGTGAATTCGTTTTGTCAGTTGTTTGTCCCATGCTTGAGAATCATTCTTTTCCAGTTTTTTTTTTGATAAAATAAACATTCATCATACCAGTATTTCACCTGATGAAGCTACTGTGTTAGCGAAACATGTCATGTGATTGAGAATTTTGTGGGAATTTTATCGTTTGTGAAGTTTCACATTTGACCTTGAGATCATCAGAAAGTACTAGAGGAATTCAAAGATGGAGGTGGGTTCAAGAGTTGAAGATGTCGTGGAGTCTGAGAGACTCCACCTAGTAAATAAATAGAAAATAAACACCCTGTTCACTGCAACTCACCTTCTTTCCTTTATCTACACTTAACTCGGTGACAACCACTTTCTTGCCGTTCACAGTGGCATTGACTACGAACCCGTGGTTGTCTTTCGGTGCTTTGAACCATTCGGAAACGGTCTCGCTGAAATCCAACTGCACCCACTCGCCTTTGCCGATTGGCTGGCGCATCTTTTTGCCCAACACCCTGTGGAAAGAGGTGGGCTCGGCGTGATCCGTCGCCTTCTCGATCTTGAAGACCTGCAAGAAAAAACCCATTATCGCCCAGTGGCCTCATGTGAGGACAGTCCAAACCAGAGTTTTCGAAAATTCTGAGAAACGACGAATCCAATTTATTTATCTTCAAGTTGACGATCTAGCTTCGTCCCAACAAATTTAGTTTCGCTGTGATCTCAAATAGAATAGAATACTTAGATATTTGGAAAATAATCTGATTATATTAGTAGTCGAGTTCTTCTCCGAATATCCTATTGTTCTGCATATCAGCGATATTTGCTACCAATTTTTTATTTTTAACGGAGGTAAGTCTGAAATTTTTTTATCCAAATAAGAGAATTCTATTGGAAATGCTCAGTCAGCAGCGATCATTGAAAAACAACAAGAATAAATGATTGAAAGGAATATTCACAGATATATTATGAACATGAAAACATGGATATACATGTATACAGAAGCTCTGTAGAAATTCTCAGCACATACTCCTGTTGTCAAAATGGGCCGATTTGAACAACTATCCTTGGTCTGAAATTGCTCCGTTTCTGAGATACAGGGTGGTGGAGTTCAAGAATAAAAATCGAATTTTTCGAAATTAATGAACATTTTCAAACGTATTACTTCAAAAATTGATAGACCGGTTGTTTTCGAGATGCAGAACCCTAATACGAACACCTCATCACTTTGGCCAGCAGAGGGCATACTCACCAATGCGATTCTTATGGATTAGAATGACCATAATTTTTGCCTCAGTGTAGTTTTTTATGTTTTCTAGTGAGAAAATATTCTTCTGAACATTTTTAGGCCAAAATCGCACACTAAATCTCTAAGTCTGCTGAAATGCGCCGTTTTCGAGATTTCTCGGTTTTTAGTGTTTTCTTCGTGGATATAATTTGCTCAGTAAATTAGCAGTACCAAAATGGATTGTTCAAAATACTTTCTTCTGCAACCGACACAAAAGTCGTCCATTTTGATACCAAAATTAGCTCTTAAATTGACGTTTCTATTACTGACACTAAAATAGGTATGTTGCTAAGCAACATATTTAGTTCCTAGGAGCTAAAGCTGAATTTTAGTTCCTAGGAGCTGAAGTTGAACTTAAGCGCCTAGGAACTAAAAAGGATCTACTCGACGTCATCAAGAAAACATTGTGACGGTTGGTTATTTGGGTTGAGACCCATACCTGATTTGTTTCCGATTTCAGCAGATTTGGCATTTCATACCCATGGTGGAGATATTAATACACCTTATTATAGTTTAGTATCGAAATTATAAACATATCAGTTAAGTATTTTTGCTTTGATCAGGAAAGCCTTCAAGATTCAAATACTTGCGTGATCTGTATTTCATTCGTTATTCTCGGGATGGATAACCTGTTTTTGAATAATCACGGCAAGCAATAGTTTTTTTTTGTCTCAAACAATGATATTGTTTAGCTTCATTTGATTATCAAGTCAAACTCAGTGTAGTATGGAGAGGAATAAATAATCTCTATTATCATCGTTGATATTTTTTTTTTGCAATTGCATTACCTCGTTGGTCCCAGCACTAGAACCAAACGCCCCATAAGTCGGAACTTGTGCGGGGTTAAATGTGCATACAAACACAAACATCCATGGCCTAACTAGGATTCGAACCTATGTCTCGGCGGGAGTCCCCATACGAACTCAACACCTTCACGCTCTCGATTACCGAGCCTCACTAACCTAACATTTTCCACGTCTTGTTCCTATAGCTGGTACTGGCGCGGTATTTTCCATTAGAGCCCTGCTTGGTCCATACACAAATATGTCACTCTGTGGTTGTATTTATATTGAAACTACAATTCGAACATACTAGAAAACCTAACCTGCTGTTAATGCAGGTAGAATATTTTCACCACATGGATTATTCGTCAATATTTGTTGCATTGCATACATATGGCACGGCATTGGTGGTTACTTCACATGTTTATTTGAGTTAATTGTTTTGGTTGCAGAAAAAAAAGCATGTCTCATTCGGATCAAAAGTGACTTTGTTCGACTCGCAAATTTGGCTTTCGCTCGGCTTCGCTAAACGCTCCGACTCGCAAGTGCAAAATTCGCTTGTCAAACAGAGTGTCACTTTTGATCCTAATAAAACAATCTTCTATTATGTAGTGTACTTATCAAGTTTAATTTTTCAACTTTACAACCCTGTATCTCGGGAACGGAGCAACTTTGGACTGAGATAAGTTGTTTCAAATAGGCTTATTTTGACCTCAGAAATATGTACTAAGAATTTGTACAGATCTTTCAGTCTGTATGAAGAGATACATTGAGAATTCGCATTATCTATATGTGATGGAAATATCAATTCTTTCCCGGTATATTCAACAAGCAACAACTACTTTCATTATTGGTCAAAACGGCTCACATGGCTCTATCTTGACTCTTGAATCACTATCTTCTGATACTCAATTGAAAAAAGAATACAAGGTGGTTCAAGATTCAGAATTCTGATCACTTCTGAAGTTGAAAAATCTTGATTTTGAACACCCTATATCTCTGTTATCATTCTTGCTAGACCCCAAGTATGGTATAAAATCAAGAACGCAATGAAATTTGAAATAACAAAGTTGTTACTACTTTTTGATAGAAGCGACAACGCCGCAGCGCTAAAGATATTTCAGAACGATGTCTCCCTCGAAAATGTAGTCGGCGTTTTTCAATGTTTTTTATCATCCGGTTTTGATGACCTACAGAGCCTCTGTTTCGTTTTCAATGAACTACTCTCTAAAAGTGAATGTTCCGCCCTCAAGCATAAATTAATCTCATACGTACAGCGTGCGAAAAAGTGTAACTTAGCTCACGGTAATGCGTGCGCGGAAGAACTACTTTGTGCATGCTTGTAACAAATAATTTATTTCACGAGAACAGATAATCCTGTCAAAAAATCGTCTCCTAACGAGAACTTATATGATATTTTGTGACGATTCGCCTCCACTTACCTCGATGATGACGTCTTGAGGCTGCCGCCTCTCAGTACCTTTGATGTAGATGGAGAGCGTCGCATTGCTCACCTGGTACTTGGTGATGCTGTCGCTGAACGTGAAGTGGATTATGTCACGGCCTCTATGCCTCAGTCTTGGATCTGGAAATAACAGAAAATACTCAATATCATATGAAATATCTTTATTTCTGTAACGGGAAAAAAGTTTGGCATTTCATCTCTGTTGGCAGGTTATAGAATGTCACTTTTCATAAATTACTCTTTTTCGAAAAATGAGTCAATAATACCGTCTCCTAGAAAGAACTGGATGTCCTTTTATCTTCCATTCGACTTCGCGGTTACGTATATTACTAAACAACCACTAAATTCGCAATTTTTTGAAATCAAATCACAGATTTAGACTGACAGAAATGACATCAGATATTTGATTACTTCAAAAGAATTTATTATTTATAACACGTTGGCAAATAACGGCGGAGAAACGTTGTTGAAAAACATTTTTAACACGTTGATTTCTTGACCAGCAGTTGATTTTTGTTAAAAGAACGGCATTTGAAAAAACGATCATTCCAAGGGTTTAACAAACGTTTGGAATAAACGTTATATAACTGCTAGCAATTCGACTATGAGTTGAAAAATAGTTCAACAACAAGGTATACTCTTCTTTCCTCCCTTCTGCCTGGCGACTTGCGTCTGTTACCCCCTTTTATGAAAAAGGAGATAAACTTGACCCTGGTAACTACAGACCAATAAGTCTAGTATCCTTGTGTGCTAAAATCATGGAACGAATAATTGTAGATGTCCTACTACCTTTTCTGCTCGAGAACGACGTGATTCCACTCACCCAACATGGCTTCATACCAGGAAGATCAACAACAACTAACTTTCTCTATTGCTTGTATAAATGGACCAAATCAATGGACTCCGCATGAGTGATGCGGTTGATGCGATTGATATTATATACCCCGACTTTTCCAAAGCGTTCGACAAGGTACCACGGGATAAGCTATTGCACAAACTTGAACATTTTGATGTCAGAGGAAAACTCCATAACTGGATAGCTGCATTTCTCTCTGATAGAGTTTTCAGAGTGAGAGTGGGTACCAGTCATGATGTTACGTCTGGAGTACCCCAGGGATCGGTCTTGGGTCCAACATAATTTTTGGCATACGCATCAGATTTACATACCGCTCTAAGGTCCGACCATGCATTTTTCGCAGACGACAGCAAATTTTTCGGCAACCCACTATCCAGTTTCGATGTACTACAATCTGATCTGTTATCAGTACAAAACTGGTGCGGCATGTGGGACATTCCTCTGAATATCGACAAGTGCTCTATTCTACATGTTGGCCCCACTAACCCAGAACTAGACTACTACCTAGGTAATAAAATCATTCCTGCAGTGGAGAACCATAACGACCTAAGAGTCATTTTCAACAAGAAACTAACTGTGTCCAATCAAGTAGCAGCAGCTGTCCGTAAGGCAAACAGTCGCACATACCTCCTTAACAAATGCTTTGACCAACCAGAACCAAGCCTCTTCAATAAGATTTATAAAGCATATGTTCGCCCACACCTTGAATATGCGGTGCAGATATGGAATCCTCATCTGGTGAAAGACATTCAACTTCTGGAAAGAGCCCAACGCAATGCAACACGAATGGTTAGAAGTTTCAAGGATCTTTCCTATGAACAACGGCTATCTCGGCTAAGGCTTCCTTTGCTGAGTGATAGACGAGCTAGAGGAGACGCTATTCTGACGTATAGAATTCTGCACGATGACTTCTCTGTTGACCTATCCAACTTATTCCATCTACAGAATGATGATAGATTGAGAGGCCATACTATGAAGTTGAAGCAAGAACATTTTCGAACCACACTCAGACAAAAATTTCTGTCAAATCGAGTATTTTCAAAGTGGAATGCATCACCTCGTGATGTTGTGTCAGCTCCCAGTGTGAATAGTTTCAAAAACCGCTACGACTTGGTGCAATTGCAATTGCAATTTCAACAATTACAGTGATTACTAAATTAGGTATCAATAGTGTATCATTAGAAATGTATTGGACTTGACACATTAATAGTTGTAACTAATTTTAAGCTCAAGTATCTATTGGGAAAATAGGCTATGCCTCTGCCCTTGTTATAATATAATAATAATAATAATAATAATAATAATAATAATAATAATATCCACCATCAAACAGCACTGCCTCGAAAGGATACGGATGTTAGTGGCTGCTAAACAGTCACTAAAGAGGCGAGCGAGAGGGCTGGCGGAAAATAAACAATTCCGCGAAAAGCCCTCTCGCTTATTTCAACCGCCTCCAAGTGTGGTTGACAATCCGCCGACTGCTGATCAGGTGGAAACCTTCTGGAAGAGTATTTACGAAGTGAGGCATCCATTCAACAGAGATACTCCAGCCCTGGCGCAGTTCGGTACCTTCTGCGGAAGATACCGAGAGCCTGAGCCCGAATTACTGCGCCAACCGATAACCACTGAGGTGGTTCGAGAAGCCCTAAAAGGCTCCAAGAACTTTGCTGCTCCTGGTCCCGACGGGATCAATAACTTCTGGTGGAAAAAGTTTCCCTCTACCCACCACCATTTAGCCAGGATATTCAATAGCTGGCTGAATGGGGAGCAGCAAATCCCTGAGTGGTTTATCGAGGGGCGAACCGTGCTTCTCCCTAAGACTGGAGATTTGTCCAATCCGAAGAATTACAGACCAATTACCTGCCTGAATGCATGTTACAAGTTGTTTACACGCATCTTGTACATGCGAGTACTCCTAGTAGTTGATCCGGTTTACCAACGGATTTCTGAGCAGCGTGGGTCGAAGAGAGGTGTCGCTGGCTGCAAGGAGAACCTGTTGATAGATAGAGCTATTACACAGGACTCTGTGCAGTACAAGCGGAATCTTTCTGTGGCCTGGATCGATTACCGAAAAGCATTTGACACAACGTCACATGAGTTACTCGTGTACTTGCTCAAATGTCTTTCGGTACCCGATTCTATAGTGAGATGCATAGAACAACTGATGCTGGTCTGGCAGACCCGCTTTACTATAACATCAGGTAATGCGAGAGTTCAGACAGAGCCAGTCATCATAAGGAGAGGAGTATTTCAAGGGGACTCCCTTAGCCCTCTCCTATTCTGCATCTCACTTCTGCCACTATCCGTTGAGCTCCGCAAAACCAGAGGATACAACTGCGGCCCACCCAGTTACCGGAGGCATAAAGTCACCCACTTATTCTATGTGGATGACCTCAAACTTTATGCCTCTGGTGAGAGGGATATGGACCAATCCCTCAGGGTGGTGCAGGAGTACACGCAGGCAATTGGAATGGAATTTGGGATGGACAAATGTGCACTGGTTCATCTCAAGAGAGGACGATGCGAGAACTACGACAAGGACGCGCAGCTCGTGGACGGAAGCATCCTACACCACCTGGATGCCGGAGAGACGTACACCTACCTGGGTGTAGAGGAAACTCACATCCAGGAGGCACAACGGGTAAAAGACGCTCTCCGCAGCAAGTATCGGCAGCGGCTCCGACAGATCTGGTCGTCAGAACTGTCGGGGAAGAACAAAGTCGCTGCGACTAACATGCTTGCTGTTCCGATCCTACTTTACTCATTTGGAGTGATAAAGTGGACTCAAGTCGAGCTGCGACAACTTGACGTAAGTACTCGCAAGATGATGCATCTCCATAGGAGTCTGCATCCAAATTCGTCCGTTCCACGGTTATACATACCTAGAGACCAGGGTGGCCGTGGACTCTTGAGCTTGGAGTATCTCCATAACAGAATGGTTCTGGATGGCGCCTGCAAAGTCATCAGGAGTTCGGATCCCCTTCTGCAAATGGTTAAAACCCATGAAGAGGCAGGAGTAGGAGCTTTTCTTTTCAGGGCAGCACGTCGAGCAGCCGATGAATTGTCTCTGATTTTCCACTCCGAGCGCGAGGCTCAGGACTCAATTACTGAGCTAGAACCCGCTCGGAGAAAAGCCCGCATTAAAGCTGCAGAAGTGAAAAAGCTTCTGCAGCTTCACATGGATAAGCCCATGCATTCGGTCTACTTCAAGACCATTGAAGACCGGGGCTTATCCAAAGAACTGACTTTCGCTTTTCTCAAGTCAGGCGGGCTTAAATCGGAAACAGAGGGGTTCATCATGGCATGCCAGGATGGGGTTTTCAACACTCTCGTCTACCGTAGCCGTGTCATGGGTATGGAGGTCCCTGACACAAATTGCAGGGCCTGCCGCAGGGCGCCCGAGACAATTATGCACCTGCTGTCTTCTTGCACGGTGTATGCAGTCTCGGCCTATATCCATAGACACAATGCGGCATTGCGAGTGCTCTATCATCACTTGAGGCACTCGTACGGAATAGACGAGACCCCAGTGCTGCCCTATGCTCCAGGGGATATTGAGTCCGTTGTGGAGAATGAGAGGTGCCGAATTTATTGGAACTTTTCATTCCCCACCCTCAGACAGATACGAGCTAACAAGCCTGATGTAGTCCTCCTCGACCATCAAACCAAAGCGATGTTCGTGATCGAGTTTTCGGCGCCAGCCGAACCGAACATCGTCTTGAAGGAGGAGGAAAAACGGACTAAATATCGAGATCTTCTCTTCGAACTCCGCCGGCTCTATCCAGACCATTCTGTGGAATTGGTCATCCTGATAATCGGCTCCCTAGGAGGCACACGACACACGCTGCTCTCGGAGATCCAGAAAATCCCAGCGTGCCGTGATAAGGCACACATCCTGGCTGGTGGAATGCAGAAGGCCGTCATACTGGGATCATTGCGTCTACTTAGGGCACACGGTACTTGGTCCCAGTGATTACTCACCTCACAGGCTGTGAGGAGTAGTCACTGGATTTTATCCAGCACGACTCTGCGTGACGTCGGAGGCCGCAGGGTCGTGACTGGAATTACATGAACTTAAATGAATAATAATAATAATGAACGTTGTCAAATGAAGGCTGAAAAATGTAGTTAAATAGCGTTTTATTCACGTTTTTTCCCCATTATCAGTTAGAAAATGATGAAGGATTCACGTTAAAGAAACGTTTTTCTCAAGAGTTAGTCTAACGTTTTGGGAAAACGTTTTGTAAATGTACGAATCTTATGG